ACTGTATTACAATGGGGCCTTTCCCGCAATGAAAACTATGCCTTGTAGGGGCATCTGAGGAGGACACTTGGAGGGAGGGTTTACTCCAACATCGTTGACGACTCTTGGGTTTACACTGGTCCTCCTCCTCCTCCTCCTCCTCCTCCTCCTCCTCCTCCTCCTCCCCCTCCTCCTCCCCCCCCTCCTCCTCCTCTCCCTCCCCCCCCTCCTCACACGTCACTCGTCACTCGTCTCCCCCTCCACCGTGCACGCCCTCGCTAAGGCTGAAGCAGAGCCTCGAGGACGGGGGCCGGCGCCTTCGCTTCCCTGCCCGCGCGGCCTGCTGCGGACGAGACGGGCCCTGGATGGGGGGGAGAGGAGGGAAGGCCAGAGCAAACCCAGGATGCATCGTCATCGTCTCGTCGTCATCGTCGTCGTCTGCATCGTCATCGTCGTCGGCATCGCCATCGTCATCATCGTCATCGTCATCGTCATCGTCGTCGGAAGACCAGGGTTAACCCAGGATGCACCATCGATGCTGCAGTGCATCCTCACGTCCCAAGTCCCCTCATAATTCCCTGACGCGCCTTTCTTGTTCTTGTCGGAAGCGCCACCCTGCAAGACGAGCACCCCATGGGCCTACCGTTCAGGCGAGAGCCCCGTTTTGAAGACGAGCTGCTGTACATCCTTCGAGTGATCTATAAGGAACGCCAGTATCAGGCGATCGCAGACATGGATCAAGGGGGCGTGGATTAGCAACGGCTCCCGCTTCCATGGGAAATCGCGGATGTCTGCCGCCGGACGAGGCGGCACCAGCCGCATTTTGGGGAATGGATGAAGTCTCACGCGAGAGCCCCGATGGGAAAAGGGACCGCCCTCCATCCGTGCAGCGGTTGCATGTATCCAAGCCTCGAGCCGTTTCAAGTGCGGAAGTGCCGGGCGTCTTCCAGCCCTACACTTCTTGCAAAGTTTGAAGACGAGTGTGCGCGGAGCCAAGGCGACATTTCCACTGTGAAAGAGGGCCCGCCCTTCATCCTTGTAAGTGTTGCATGGTTTTAGAACGAACGTGCGCGGCGCCACGGCGAGATCCGCTTTTTGAAAAAGGACCCGCCCTCCATCCTTGGTGTTGCAAATGTCAAGCTCCAGAATCATAACTGATCCGGGGGTCCCAGGCAACAGGCCAGAACCGCCCGACCGACACGACAGGAGGGGTTATCTAATGGAGGAGTCATATATCAAATGGCCTTCGGCCCATCACGCAATCGTGCCTGGGCTGCGTCAGAGTTCTCAAGGATGCTTCTTGGGGTCTCTTCGGAGCGCTCTCGGGGGCCTCTGGGGGGCAGTTGCGGGGCTTCTTGGAGCCTCTTAAAGGCCTCGTGTGGGCTCGTGTGGCCTGTCGGGGGCCTCTTGTGGCATCTTGGGGGCCTGGTGGGGCCTCTTGAGGGCCTCCCGAGGGCCTCTTGGGGGCCTCCCGGGGGCCTCCTGCGGGCGCCTCGGGGCCGAGGGCTCGAAGAGTCCGCTCGGGTCTCCCCATCTGGGCCCCCTGTTGGGGCCGTTTTTGGGGGACTCTTGGGCCGTCTCGGGTGCCTCCTGGGCCATCTTGGGGCCCGCTTGGGCAGTTCTGGGGCCGGGGCCGCTGGATCTTCGGAGGCAGTCTAGGGGGCTCCACAGGGCTGTCTTGGGGGCCCCCTCGGGACGCTTTCGGGCCGTTTGGGAGGTCTCTGGGGCCCTCTTGCGGAGGTTTCTGGGGCTGTTTTTTTGGGCTGCACTGGGCGACTCAGTGATTGGCGAAGAGTGATTTGGCCTCCTGGGGCGGCTCAGTGATTTTGGCCTCCTGGGGCTCTTTTATGGCCTCTTGGAGCCCTCTTGGGCTGTATCGGGGGACTCCAGGGCCGTCTTGGAGTCTTGGGGCCATCTTGGGTTGTTTTTGACGCATTTGGTTGCAATCTTGGGCTCTCTTGTGGCCAGATTCGGCGTCCTTGATGCCATCTTGGACCGTCCTGGAGTCCGTCTTGGGGCCATCCCAAGCGGGAGGACGCCGCTGGGAGACCGGACCAGCTGGGTCGACGGAGGCCCCGTTGGGAACCTAGGCTGGCATCAGTTGGCACACTAAGGACCCCCCGTGAAACAGGTTCGGGCGAACCTGGAAGTCATCATCTGCAACGCAGGGGTACTCTAAGGGGAGCTGGGGCAAAGGCGAGAGATAGCGAGCGTTTGTCCGCGGCCGTTTGTATTCAAGCGGCCGGCCGCCAAGATATGACTGCGCCTCACCGCAGGGACTTGTGGGCAGACCCGGAGGGAAGTTTCGTGAGCGAGTCCGTCCGAGGCACTGCTGCGCCACCCGCCCACGCCCCGCGCAGGGCGGGGCGCGGCCCGACGCTGTCTGCCTGCCTGTCTGCCTGTCGGTTTGCCTGTCGGTCCGTCCGTCCGTCCGTCCGTCCGTCCGTCCGTCTGTCTGTCTGTCTGTTCGTCTGGCTGTCTGTCTGTCTGTTTGTTAGTTTGCAACCCCCCCCCCCTGAAAAGGCGAGAACGGTCTAGGTGTATTGGAGCCCTCCTGGGCGTCCTGGGAGCCTCCCGCGCCATCTCCAGGGCATCTTGGATTGTCTTCGGGCCATATTGGGCCAGCTTCGAGACATGTGGGGGCTATCTTGGGTTCCCTTGAGGCCACCATGGGCGTCTTGGATGAGATCTTGGCCATTTTGGCAGCCATGTTGGGACCGTCTGTAGCGAGAGAACCCATTGACTACATTTTCCGTGGCTCTCCAGTCGTCTGGCGGGCAAGGACGGAGGCCAATGGAAAATGGTTACCCATCCTGGCAAACGATCCAACCATTTGTAGATGTGAGTCACGCAATTGTTGGTATCTTCTACGGTGGAGTTCCTTATGGGGGACGAAACGTGTGAGCGGTGTCGGTGGTGCCATGCAGGCGCAGCCACTGGGGCCTTCGATGGAGATCCTTGTGGGGCCACGAAACGTGTGAGGGGTGTGCCCACATGGGCGCTGTGGCGTCATACGAGCGCCTGGAGCCTTCGGTGGGGCTCTCCTATGAGGCCACGAAGCATGTGAGGGGCGTGCCAAAATGGGCGCGATGGTGTCACGCGAGCGCAGCCAATGGGGCTTTCGGTGGAGCTCCTCACAGGGCACGAAGCATGTGGCGGGTGCGCCCACAATGGGCGCGGTGGTGTCATGCGAGCGCAGCCGCTGGGGCCTTCGGTGGAGCTCGCCTTGTGCCCACGAGACGTGTGACGGGTGTGCCGACATGGGTGCGGCGATGCCATGCGAGCGCAGCCACTGGCGCATTCGGTGGAGCTCCTTGTGGGCCACGAGACGTATGACGGGTGTGCCGACATTTGTGTGGTGATGTCATTCGAGCGCACCCACCGGGGCATTCGGTGGAGCTCCCCATGGGGCCACGAAGCGTGTGACGGGCGTGCCGATATGGGCGCGGTGGTGTCATGCGAACGCAGCCACTGGGGCCTTCGGTGGAGTTCCTTGTGGGGCTTCAAAACATGTGAAAGTGTGGTAACATGGGCGCGGTGGTGTCATGCGACCGCAGCCACTGGGGCCTTCGGTGGAACTCCTTATGGAACCACGAAGCATGTGACGGGTGTGCCCAACATGGGCGCGGTGGTGTCATGCGAGCGCAGCCACTGGCGCCTTCGGTGGAGCCCCCTTTGTGCCCATGACACGTGTGACGGGTGTGCCGACATGGGTGCGGTGGTGTCATGCGAGCGCAGCCACTGGGGCCCTCGGTGGAGCTCCCCATGGGGCCACGAAACGTGTGAAGGGCGTGCTGACATGGGTGTAGTGGTCAGCGCAGCCAGTGGCGACTTCGGTGGAGCTCCTTGTGGGGCCACGGGATGGGTGCGGTGGTGTCATGCGACCGCAGCCACTGGGGCCTTCGGTGGAGCTCCCTATGGGGCCACGAAGCGTGTGAGGGGTTTGCCGAAACAGAAACACGCGGAGGGCAGAAGCAAAGAGGGCGAGGAAGGAGGAGGAAAAGGACGTGGAGTAGTTAGGAACGCGGGGCGCTGCCTCTTTAAAACGAGGACCCAACACCACAGGATGGCTTGGACAAATTATGAAACGCTAGAAAATCCACCACGCCGGGCCCCCTTGATAAATGCACACGGAGCGGCGAGTCTGCTGGCCTTACCCATGCCACCACCGTGCCTGGGTCGTTGACGAGGGGCCTCTGAGGGGCCTTTTGGGGTCATTTGCGTGGCCTCTTGGGATTTGCTGGGGGCCCATTGGGGGCCTCTGGCGGCCTCTGGTGGGTCATGGGGGGAATATGTCGGTGGAGGGCTCCAAATGTCAGTTCGTGCTCCCCCTCTCGGGGGCATCTTGAGCACCTCTCGGGGGCATGGTGGCACACCTCGTGACGACCTTGATGAAGGGCCTTTTTGGCCGTCTTTGGCGCTCTTGAGACCGACCAGCCGAACATTCGAATATCACGCAAACAACATGTAATCTGGGTTTCTTAATAAGCGTGGGAGGGTACCCCTTCGACGGGGGTCAACCTCGCCTCGTCGTCGCGCCGCGACGGGGATCGGAGCGCCTTCGGCGCGCGGTGGCTAGCCGCGACGGGGATCGATGTGGGGCTGTTGGCGTGGGTGACGCCCCCCCGACGCTTATCAAAAAACTCGGAGTATGTTCAATGGTTTTAGTCTCTGGGGCCACCCTCAGGTCCTTCAAGAAAGCACCAGCACGGGCCCTGAGGCCGTCCTTGAGCACGTCCGATGTTTCGACCCCCAGCCAGGGTCCCGAGGCTTCCGGGCAAGTCACACGGGGATTCCCCGGAGCGCCCAGGAGCGCGCGAGAGCGCTCAGGAGCGCCCACGATCACCCACGAGGATTAACGAGGGCATGAGTACACTCAAATGTACTTACGACAGGATGGCGGATCTGCACAGCATGCGTGTTGTGCCTGAGCTTGATTTCGCTCGTTTCGTGTTGAGAATGTGCCTAACCCTGATTTGCCATGGATCAGCACGTCCTGCGCACGCCACAATTGCGTTCAGGACAGCATCGCCTACGGCACGAAGGACATGGAGGCAGCGAAGAGCTCGAAGGCCAAGGCTCGGCACTGCCATTGCCAGCGCACGATCAAGTCATGTTACTGGCAACGCGTACCAGTCCCCCGAACGGCCAGCGATAGTGACAAAGGAACAGTTAGATCATAAAGGGGAGAGAGGTATAGTTAGATCATACAGTAATTAGATCATAACGTAGTTAGATCATAAAGTAGTTAGATCATCTAGTGGCAAAGGAATAGTTAGATCATAAAGTAGTTAGATCATAGAGGGACCGGAGGAGTAGCATGACGTGTGGCGAGGCTGACCTCGACTTCTGCGGTGGAGCGTGCATGCGAGTATTCATTGTTCGTTTACATGCAGCCATGCGCGCAAGCACATGCACAGGCACACGTCCTTGGCCACGTACGTGCAAACGTACACATACGTGCAATCACAAACGTGTTTGTAACGCATTGCGCACGAGCCAATGCGCGCGCACGCGCACGTGCACCCTTGCACGTACTCATGCGCGTATATCTGTACTTGCGTGTGCACTGGTCTCGCACGTGCACGTTCGCATGAGCTTGTCTTCGCGCGACCACCGGGCCAACGCAGCATCGATACGCTGTGCTCCTTGGATAATGCTATAGAGTCGGGAGCTTTTCAAGGGCCTCAAATGCTGGTTTGCGGAGCTTTCTTTGGCCGTCTGAGGGTAACACCTGGCACGCGTGCCCTGTCTCTTGCACGAGGAAACCGTGGCCCCACGGGGGTGAGCGGAGCGAGGGGAGAGGGTTTGAGGGAGGACCAGGGCGGAGCCGGAGAGGGAGGGGGGAGGGCCTGGGGCAGTACGAGTGAACGAGCCACGAAAGTAAAGGGCTCCGAGCTCTAGCACGCAGCTGTGGAAGAACATGCAATGGATGTGTTGTCCCTGCGTGCTCGCGGGTCTCTTTCTGGTAGAGCCGTTGTTCTCCACGCATCTGGCAGGGCATCCTCGGCGCCTCCTTGGCCTGCCACAGCTGCCAGGGCCCACGAGCTCACGCGTGTGTATACGTGTATGTATGTATGCATGTGTGTATATATATATATATATGTGTGTGTGTGTGTGACAGAATCGACGGGGGGGATCTGGAACCCGAACCTTCTATTCTCCACGGGGGGGCCGGGCCTTCGGGGGGCGTCCTCGGGGCCAGGGGGGGTGGCCCAAACTGCGCCCAGGACTCCACGGGGCTAGCCCAAGACGACCCAAGAGAGCTCCAAGACGGCCCAAGAAAGCCTCAAGACTTCCGCAGACAGGCCCAGGACGGCCCAAAATTCTTCCAGTACGCCCCAAGAACTTCCCAACAGGACCCCCAAGATGGTCCTGAGAGACAAGAGTCAACGATTCCCTTAGGTTTTCGCGAACAACACTCGCAAGGACGAGACGCAGGACCACAAGCAATATGAGGAGGGGAGAGTGGAGGATGCACCGATCGATGTCCAGAGGCTCAATTCTACAATTCATTGCTGGCATGAGCATCCTGGCGACGCGCTTCTCCGTTCCTCTGGTTGCATCTACGAGTGCCCCCAAGAAAACATTTACTGCTGCCCTTTTCATTTGCCCCATAACATCTACACTTTTGATTATTGCTGTGTTGATAGGGGGAAGTTTATTTCTCCAGGATACCGATGCACTTGGTCAAAGCTCAAGACATGCACAGTAGCTTTAGCGGCCACTGTTCTCCGTGCTAGGACGGGCAACGCGAGATGGGGGAAGCGAGCCTTGAGGGGGGTGCCCCGCCGATGAGGAGCGAGGAGAACGGGCAGGAGGAGGAGAGCAGGCGAGCCGCATGACTCGGCAGGAGGCGCCTTGGCACTTGTTGGCTGGGGCCGCGGCTGGGGATATCCTTCCCCTCCTAATTACGGCTCTGCTCCAGCAGCTTGGTGCCTTTTTGTTGCTGCATGCCGCTGGCTGGAGCTCCCGCGCTCCGAGGGAACGGGGCGTCGTGCGCCACGGGGCTGCGGCTGCGTGGCGCGCGGTGCTGGCTACCCGAGCTGATTTTGCTTCGCGACAAAAGAACGAGCATGCAGGATCGCTGGTGCACGGCCAAGCAGGGCTCCGAGAGGGCGTCCAGACGGCCAACAGGGCCCCAGGACGGCCGAAGACCGAAGACGCCCCCAAGACGGCCCAAGAAGCCCCCAAGAGCGCCCGCCCCTGACAGGGTCCAAGAGCAGGAACTCGATGGGGGCTTCGGGAACAGTGGACGGCCATTACGACAGCCGAGATCGCCACTAGACGGTCCACAATAGCCCCAGGAGGGTCTAGGATGGGCCTAAAACGATTTAAAGGGCTCCAAGAGGGCCCCCAAAGGGGCCCAAGATGGCCTAAACGGACACCCGAAGGAACGCAAGACGGCCAAAAAGATCCTAGATGACCCAAGACGGCCCAAGATGGGCCCAACACGGCCCCAGTACGACCTTAAGAGGGCCCCAAGACAGCCAATGAGGCCTTCAAAACGGCCCCCAGGGACTTCAAGATGGCCCAGGATGCTCTCAAGACGACTCCAAAATCGGCCCCACAGGGCCCCCAATACCGTATATCCAGCAGGCAATCCAAGAGGCTCTCAAGACGGCCCAAAAACGGCTGGGGGTGGCGCGGAAGCTCTGCAATAATTCCCCCCAGAAGCCAACGTCATCCAATTTGAGGCCCTGCTAGCGCGGCAAATATTTGTTTTCGTTGCCTTCGTTGTGCTGTGCTTCGGCCCCAGATGCGTGGAGGGGAGGGGCCGGCCTTCGATATTATGTGGTTTGGCCTTGGCGGCGTGCATTTCGGAACCAGACTCGGGCACCGCTCGTCTCTGTTCAGCTCCTCCTCCAGTCCTCGGGTGGATTCAGACGCGCAAGAAGCGTAGAAGAAGCGTCAGGACTTCTCGACACGTCGCCGGGATCCCAAAGCTTAATTGCCGCAGGTCCCTCCACCCCGGAAGGAGCTCCAGAATTATCCCTGCGTTCCTCTTTGGCGACTTGCGATGCGAGTTCTTGGGCGCGGCAAGGACCTAAGCGCGCGCGAAGCGCGCGCATGGTTCTATACATATAAACACATGCACATATACATAGATATATATACATACGCATTATGGATATACACCTCCCCCCCGCACTTGGAGGGTAGGACTGGGGCCCCACCAACAGGGGGGAACTTTCTTTTCCGCGGCACCCGCCGCGCAACAACGACGTACGACGACAGCAAGGACGACGACGACGACGACGACGACGACGACGACGACTACTATTATTATTACTACGACCACGAATAAGATTAGTTGTGCTTCAGGAGTGCCCTCACGGAAATCCTGCCTCAGAGAGTTCGATTCTCAGAAGCTCTATGTTCAGAAGTTTCATCCTGAGAAGGACTGTTGAAGCTCAGGCCCCACGAAGGCCCTCAGAAGCTCCATCTTCAGAAGCTCCATCCTCAGAAAGATTGTGAACAACAACTTCCGCGAATAATGTGTCGATCTAACTTGCAATCCTCTTACACACGTGCTCAAACTTCCTCTGTCGCGAAGGGCAGCCCGGTGGGCAGTTTTTCATGGGAGAAAGAGCTTCCCCGCATGATCCAGGCCGCCCAATTATAGAGGGAAACGAATCTTCGCCGCGATGACGACGACGCTTACGACTACGACTAAGAATACGATTGAGTACGAATGCGACTACGACGACGTTTACGACTACAATCGCGACTACAATCACGATTACAATCGCGATTATAACCAGTACTACAATGTCGAATGCAACCACCACTGATTCCTATTGCAATCCTCCTGAGAAGATGCTCACAATCTTCTCGCGTGTAAGGCAGCCCACAATGGATTATTCCTTACGAGAGAGAGCCCCAAACATTATCCAGCCCGCGCAATATTACAGAGAAAGTCATTTCCGCCGCGACGACGATAACGACGACGACGACGACCACGACGAGTTACTACCATAGTACTATTGGTATTATTGGCGTATAGAGATACACTGATATAGGCAACAATAAAGCATATAAGTGTAAAACAACGCGTCTATGTTGATCAGCGTGGACCTGAAACAGCGTGTTTCTAGCAGCGGATGTTGTACAATCTATATACGGCACGATCTATAGTTTGCACTATATGTGGAGCCATGTATGGTGTGCAATGCGTGTGGTGCAATATGCGCGGTGCAGCATGTATTGTACAGTCTACGTTGTGCAATCCATGGTATGCAACATATGTTTTGTACCATGTGTGGTGAAATATTTGCGGGACGACATATGTTGTACTACATATATTGTGAAATCCAGGTTGCGCAGACTATGTTGCGCCACATGTGTGATGCGATATATGCTGTGCAGTTGATGTCGTGCAAGATGAGTGGTGCGATCTGTGCGGTGTAGTTATTTCCTGTTCACAGTGAGTTGTCAACTCCACTGCTCGCGCAATCTTCCCATCCACCCACCCGCAACTCGGCGTGCAAAACACACGCGGTGGCGATTGCGATGGGTGCTTGGCGTTGGCTGGTCCATCTCTGCAGCCTCGCCAACCCAAGCACGCGCGTGCAGCGGCCAACTAGTTTAGCACGACCGGCGCGGCCCCTTTGGCGCTGACCGCTGGGCACATCTCAGCGGGCACTTCAATGCGAGTCGGCGAGTTGGGCGGAAGCGGTATCATGGCAACTTCGACGAAGGTAGACACGATTATAATAGTAGCGATGCCTGTGACGATTTTAGCAACGACGACGGCGCAGCCAGTGCGGGCGCTGATGCTGATCACGTCGACGACGATGACGACGTCCTCGCGTCGGTGATGAAGGTTTGGGAAATAGTTCGACGTGCGCGCGCGGCCGACGCGCGAGCGTGGCCCGCATGGTATTGTTTGACGCGGATCGTGCCCCCCAGCACGCGCGCAAAGGGCGCGCGAATGATGTCGGCACGCGGCGCCAGAGGCCCGTTTGGCACAAGTCGATGAAAATGTTGAGAAAACCACGGTTGTCGGAAAATCCGCAAGAGCGCGAACGCATTTTTTTGTTTGAAAAATTGTGTTGCGAAGCCCTGTGTTTTAATGTGTTTCGGATTCGGTTTTCAAGTCGCAACGACACCTAAGGTTTTTGACGGATTGCGACATGCGCGCGCGACGACGTGCGCATGCGCGTTTCGTTTTTTTTTTTTTTTGTGCAGAGGACTCTAGCGACGGCACGCGCGCAAGGGCGTTCGAACGATTTGGACATGCGCGCGCGAAGCCCCGTGTGGTAGCATTTTCCGAAAATGATGAGAAACCGACGGTTGAATTAAGAATCCGTGTTGCGAAACCCTTGTGTGTTTGATCTGTTTTTTGGGAACTCGATCTTGGGATCCTTACGAAACCGACAGTGCTTGAAGGATTTCGGCACGCTCGCGCGACAGCGCGCGCGTCTGCACTTCGTCTCGCCTTTTGCAAGGGATGTTCAAATCTGCTGGTTTTTGATAAACGAGCGCGCTCGCATAATATTTGTTGCAGAGGATGGCGGGGGGAGCGGATACCGGCCCCCCTGAGATGGTGTTCGTTCATATGTTGGATGGACGATGGGGCAGAAACATATGCAAGTTGAAATACGACAAGGGGGGGGCGGATAATCCCGGGGAAGGGGGAGCAGTGTCTAGTTTTAACAGCTTCAGAAAAGGGAAATCAATGGGGGCAACGAGGCGGCGATGTGGCGGCGACGGCGACAACACAGCCGCCAGATCGACCCCCAGGCCCAGACGAAGAGGGGCGACGGGACGGCGACGGCGACGACATAGCCGCCACACCGACCCGCAGGCCCAGACAACGGGCGGCGACGGGGCGGCGACGGCGACGACATAGCCGCCAAACCGACCCCCAGGCCTATTTCTTCGACCAGTAAGAACACTTAAGTGCAAGCACTGCTTGGGGAACGTACATCTACACGTCCACACATCTAACCAGGGAAGGGCCACATCCCAAAACAGGGACCTTTACTCTGCCATCTGGGTCCGGGGCCTCCGGGGCCTCGCCCCCGCCCTTCCCCAGCCTCTCGAGCCAGCCGTGGGGGCCCATCAGAGGCCCAGGAATGCCGAGGGGCGCACGCGTGAGCGCCAAGAGACTTGGGGACAGCCTCGACGCCGCCAAGATGGCTGCCAAGAGGCCCCCTAGATGGGCCCAGGCAGCCCTTACAGTCCCCCAAGAGGCAACATTCATCAATGTTCTTTGGGGCAAAGTTGTGGGTTCATGTTTCTGCTGGTCACAGCGCCCAAGTCAGTCCAAGTTCCTAATATTGTTACCAAGACCGCCCAAGAGGACCCCAAAAGGACATCAGGATGCGCGCAAGACAGGGAGTTGGGGCTGAGATGGCCCCGCGACGGCCCCAGGAGGCCCCCAATACAGCCCAGAGGAGCCCAATAGAGCCCTAAGACCGCCTGGACGGCTAAAGGTTCTGCTTGTAGAGAATGAGAATGACAAGCACGAATCGGAAACATGAAAGATGAGGAGGAGGCGGGAGGGAGATGAGGAGCGATAGGAGGACAGTGAACATGAGGAGGAGGAGGAGGAGGAGGAACGAGGCAAGGTATCGATGAGGGAAGGCAAGGTCAGAAACCTCCCGTTCCTCCTGCTGAGGCTGCTGCTGCTGCTGCTGCTGCTGCTCCTCCTCCTCCTCCTCCTCCTCCTCCTCACCCTCATCATCCGCCTCCTCCTCCTTCTCCTCATCCTTCTCCTCATCGCGACCGCTCTTCGCCTGCCTCCCTCCTCATCCTCACCCCTCGTCCTCATCATCTTCCTGCCCTCCATCCTGCTCCTCCTCCTCCTCCTCCTTCTCTTCCTCCTCCTTCTCTTCGCTCCTCTTGTTCCTTATCGTCTCGCACTTCCTCCTCCGAAGGAGGATGAGGGAGGATGAGGGTGCCGAGGAGGAGAGAAAGGGAGGAGGAGGATGATGGCGAGAAGGAGGAGGAGGAGGAGGAGGGCGAGAAGAAGCAGGAGGAGGCCGATATGGGGCGTGCGGGTGTTCTGAGCCTGCACACCTTCGTTTGCCCGTGGCACAGGTTACATGCGATTGCTTCCCCTTTCAATGTTTGTTATTATATCCCACTTCTCTTTATCCTCCTCATCCTCTCTTCCTCCCTCGTCCTCCTCGTCCTTCCCCTCCTCCTCCTCCTCCTCCTCCTCCTCCTCCTCCTCCTGAGAGGAAGGAGCACGAGCGGCATCAGCAGGCGAGGAATACGATAAGGACGACACTTAAGAAAGAACGAAGATGACTAATATGATTGATATGATGAGTAATACTATCAGTAATACAATAATATTAGTAATAAGCTGAACACGAAGAAGACCAAGACGAGTAGGAATATGCATACGACTAAGCATAAACGTATTACTAGTAGTAATGATAGCAATTATACAACAAAACGGCGAACGTGTATGATGATGTGGGGAAATGCAGACAAATCTATACATGCGTGTATATGTATAATACGGATGAATGCCAGGTCCCCAGCCCAGGGGCCACGCCCACCTCAAAACCATCGGGCCCCTTTTTTTTCATACCCCCGCCCTGGCGCCTCCAAGGGGCCTCCAGACGGCCCAGGAGGCCTCCAGGAGGCCTCCAAGACGGCCCCAGGAAGCACCCAAGATGTCCATGAGGGGTCCGAGACGCCACAAGATCGGTCCAAGACAGTCAAGATAGTCCCTAGACGGCCCAAGAGGCTTCCAAGACGCCCCAAGAGGCGTTTTCAAGAGGGCCACAAGAGGCTAAAAATTGTGTTTTTTCGAAGGGGTTTGGAGGATTTGTTGTGGTTCTCACCTTTGCGGCTTCCCGACGCTCCAAGATAACCGAAGAGGCTCCTGGGATCGCCCAAAGACGGCCCAAGAGGCTCCCAAGACGGCCCCAAGACAGCCCGAGAGGGACCCAAGCAGCCCAAGAGGCCTCCAAGACGGTCCAAGATAGCCCCATGACGGCTCTAAGAAGGACCCCAGAGAGGGAGTCCGAACGGACCTTTCGAGCCTTCGGCCCCAAAAAGCCTCTAGGAGGCTCCAGGAAGCGCCCCGGAGACCCCCAAGACGCCGCCAGAAGCCCCCGAAGGGCTCCCAAGATGCATGTCACAGGTGCACGACAAACAGGTCCCACTGGCCATCCCACTGGCCATGCTGGTGCTTTCTCCCCATGTACTGGTCTTGCGGGAAACGCTACAGGATTCCATTTTCCCTTGGTTCATCGTCAGGCTTCGAGCCTCCATCCCGGCGTCGAGTGTCTTGGGAGGGGGAGGAGGGGGAGGAGGAAGAGGGAAAAGGAAGAGGAGGACGAGGAGCGGGCGGGAAAGGAGGAAGAGGAGGAGGAGGAGGAGGAGGAGGAGGAGGAGGAGGAGGAGGAGGAGGAGGGAGGAGGGAGCAGGAGGAAGATAGAGGAGGGAGAAGGATCATGAGGATCAGTAGGAGCACGAGGATGAGGAAGATGAGGAGGAGGAGGAGGAGGAGGAGGTCGAAGAGGGGGAAAAGGAGGAGGAGGGGGAGGAGGGGGGGGGGAATATGGAGGAGGATGGGAGTGGAGAGGAGGGATGAGGAGGAGAAACCGGAGGACGAGGAGGAGGAGGCGGAGGAGGGAGAAGGAGGAGGACGACGACGAGTCGGAGGATGCGGAAGGGGAGGGGGGGGGGGGAGGAAGGGAGGGGGAGGAGGAGGGGACGAGGAGGAGGGGAAGGAAAAGGAGGGGGGGAGGAGGAGAAGGAGGAGGAGGGGGAGGAGGGAGGAGGGGGAGGACGGGGAGGAGGAGAGGGGGGAGGGGGAGGAGGGAGAGGAGGAGGTGGAGGAGGAGGAGGGGGAGGGGGGGGGGAAGGAGGGGGAGGGGGAGGATGGGGCGGAGAGGCAGGAGGAGGCTGAGGAGGAGAAGGAGGACGGGGAGGAGGTCGGATTTCCAGGCGAACACCACATACGTGGACCTGTGCTTGCTCATACCGTCTTCGGAGCTGTTCCGTGGCCACGGCTAGAGCCTAAGCGCGCGCGAAGCGCGCTCGTGGTTCTACTAAATGTGTGTATGTGTATATATATATATATATGTGTGTGCATTGAACATGTCCTGGCAAACCCAACGATAACTTCCCTCCCTGTTCCACTTGCGAGAGTGGTGTGATGGATATGGGGCCAGGGCGCATGACGTCCGTAGATACGCCGCATCGGCGATGCGGTGCGATCTTGGCGCCCCAATTGAGCGACTTAGCAAACAGGGTCGATTGCGCCGACGCCGCGCTCAAGCGCCCTCCTTACCACGCGGTGCGCCACTTGAACTGGCAACCCGCCTGAGAGCTGCGGACAATCCCCGTGTCCTCGCTGGTAAGAACCCCTTCCCTTATTGCGGAGGCCTTACGGTTGGTGCCGTCGACCCCGAAGAAGACGACCTTGACCATGACGAGGGAGAGGATTGAGGAGGAGGAGACGCAGGAGGGGGGGGCGGATGACCACGCCGAGGACGTAAGACTCCCTTTCCTTTTTGTTTGGGTTCGCCGCTCTGGCCCCAACTGGGAAGCCTCTCTGCTAGTGGGCGCGAAGCCAGGCGGGCGAAGAGAAGTCTGCGGCGGAGGGCTCGCTGGCCGACGTGTCGAGGGACCTCGCGGAGGACAAGGCAGCACCCTGGAGCCTCCCTTTGCTCGCCACATGCAGAGGAAGGATTGGCGTGACGCGAAAACTGTAGGTCTGGGTGTATGATGTTCCAACCTACTTTAGCCTTGACCACCAGACAGAATTTCGAGCACCAAAAAGTCCCACAACTCGAGGGTTTTCACGTGTCGGGCCCTGGGAGACTCGTCCGACACTGTTTCGACACTGCTTCCGGGTGCTCGAAATTATTTCTGGGGTGTGGTCTTAAGTACGATGGGAGCAACATTCAGGAGGGGAAAAAACACAGGCACAAGTCATCGTCGATTCCCCAGAACATATGGGAACATATGGGAAGTGGGTGGGGAAGACAGAAGCCCAGAACATATGCGAACAGATGGAGAATCCTTTTATTTGTGTGTATTTATTTGTGTCCCAGGGCCCCTTCAAACATAAGTTTGGGTATACAGTCCACATTTGCTTCCTGGGCATACCGCTTCCCACGGCAGCCACATCACTTGCTCTGCCGCACCGCGTTCCGCCAGTGTGCAGCTCATAGCTCGGCCCCGCCCGGCAGCGCAGGGCACGAGCTTGCGTGCGGCCCATCCAGATTCGAATGCAGCTGCTGGGAGGTCAAATTCCAAGGGCGCCATCGAGGGCGCGAAGTTATTCGCGCTTCGCGCTTCGCGGTTCGGCTCCGATTCCTCATCCTCCTCTTCTCTCCTGGGAGAAGGCGCGAGAGCGCGAAGTTATTCGCACTTCGCGCTTCGCGCAGCGCGAAGCGCGAAGTTGGGAGCCCTTGAATTCTGTTTTTTGCTCTGGTCCGAAATCCGGCTCGTTCCCGCGCAATCCCGCCTAATCCCGCTCAAACCGCAGCCTAATCCCGCTGAATCTGCAGCCTAATCCGTCGTGGTAGCCCCCAATGGGGTTTTATCCTCCTTTGATCATTCCGACGAAGACCTCCCAATCGATGCCTCCAAGTCCAACGACGAGCTGCACAGACCAAGCTGCTGCGGTCAGGCAAGCTCGCGTTCCCTGGCAGCTGCCTCTGCCTGGCCGGGAGGTGATGCTCGGGGACGTCGAGAAGGACTGCGCCGCGCACGCCGAGGAGAGCGGGCGACCCCCTGTTCGCCCCCAACAAGGGGGAAGCGAAAGTCAGCACGGGAGCTCTTATGGTCGGACCGAGGTATAAGATCGAGTTCGGCTCGGGGGGGTACCCTAATTAGTGTTCTTTATGTTCGTTGGATGCTCTTGTGCATCCTGGTGCGGGTACCCTTGGACGTTCAGTGTGTTTTGGCCGGTGGAGGGTCTCATTGGAGAATGTTGTTCTGTCCTGGGTCTGGCTGTATGCCGTGTTTCAACACGTTCAAGAGTGATTCCTGTGGCCTGTCGGCATGCTGCCGTCCCCCACGTGCAGTTTGGTGGAGAGCGAGCTGTTGAGCTTCTGACCCAAGAAAGCCTGCGCTCCAAGACTCCTGGCCTCCCCGCGGCCCCCGCCGAGGCTCTCCCCCTCCTCGACGCGCAGCTAAGAGGTCCCCTCTCTTTCATTCTCTCCCCTGGGCCCATTTCGATCCGAGCGATCCGATTCGATATCGATTTTGGCCCGCTCGATCCGATTCGATTCCGACCTTCCGACGGTCCCGTGCTGCCCGATGCCCGCGTGGTTGTTGTACATGCCGGCGCAGCCGATCCGAGCCGATCTCGACTCCGTGTCGAGGCAGCCCGATCCGATGCACATTTCGATTCGATTTGGTTTCCCGATTCGATCCTGACTGATCTTGCCGCTCCCTCACCATTATCCCTTCTCCTTGCCTGGGAGGAAGGCATGGAAAATCTGCCTTATCCCTGTGGCCCGCGGCAGGGGATTCAGCTGAAAAGGTACCCAGTCTTATGACTGGGAGCCTTCTGTTTCGCGCCAGCATGCTTGGCAACATGCTTGTTTCAGGCAGTGTAAGCGATTGATTGGAGTGGGTCAGCGAGCTTGTCGGGCAAGCATATGAGGATCTATATGGAGGGGAGCCCGTCACTCTCAACCAGCACGGGGACAACACAATCTTACACAAAGCAAATGTTCAACTCTTGACGCTTCGCGTATCCCCACCAGTCCGTAGCCTTGGCTCAAGCCGCCTCTGGGCCCTGGCTCCTCAGCCGGGTCTCCCAGCTCAAGGGGTCATCCCCTAGGAGTTTGCGGGCCGCGCGCTGCCCCCCGGGCCGCGCTCCGGCCATATCAGACTCCCTGGGTTTCGCCCCTGCGGCGCGGCGCGGCAGCCAGCCTGCAGGTCAGGCTTAGCATGGATGGGAACCCGATCGACGACCGATCTAGGATCCCTGGGAACCCCGCGGGTGATGATGCAAGCCTAGTCGACGGCCAGGGGGCCCACGGACTGGCTGGTTCAAGCCATCCCCCCCCAGGATCTCAGGACACCATCCCGCCAGGGCAGCCGTCGCCCTTCGCTCCCTGGGACCCTCCGAGCTCGATCGGTCCGAACGCGTCCGCGGACCCCTTCCCGTCGACTTAGCATACACAAGAGAACCATCGGCCTTCAGCCAGACGGGAGGAGGGGGTGCCACGGTTAGCGCCGCGAGACATACTGATACTGCGACTTTCAGTCGCTTCCCTGGGTTTGACATTGACAGTAACGACTCCTTCCTGCCAGACCTGTTTCCCTCCCTTACCCCGACACTTCCTCTGCCCCTGGCGGGGCGTCCAATTTCCTTCTCTCCTGGCGGTGAAGGGCAGAACTGGACCGCGCGTGGCGATGCCAGGACCACGGGGGGCGCTGGCCCCACTCCTGATCAAGTGCACCCCCCGACGGACTCAGGCCCATTCGTGCCGCGCAGGAGCTCCCGCCAAGGAGGCGCTCTCGAAGAGCGGCCCAGGATCCTCACCGACGAGGGCGGTTGGCCTAGGGTTGAGGCCATCCAGGGGGGTGACTACGGTTACGACGGGTGGGGGGGCGGACAGTCGATTGCCCATGTCCCCGATCCGCAACCTATGGGCTGGCGCCTCCATTCCGCCGAACGCCCTCCCTTGGACGCTTCAATGCAGAGAGAAGCGGCCTTCAGCTGCGAAGGGGCCGATCCTCTAACCGTGGGGGCTGGCGTCCCTGTCGCGCAGCCGACCCCCCCCCCCCCCCCCGCGGATGTGAGCCGACGTCAAGACGGCTTCCGCCCTCCGCCCGCCGCCTTCCCTGGACGCAGCAGCGTGGCGCACGCAGAAGATGGGCCTTCAGCCCGGGGAGCGCCGTGCGAGACAGCAGGTTTGGGCGAGTCTGTAGCTCGGGATGCTTTAAACGGACGGGTGGGCGCTGACGGCTACGCGGCGACCAATCAAATCCCTGGTCGCTCCCGTAATCCCGAGGACCCCCGTCCGTCACCCGCCCCCCAGTCGGACAGTCGCAGACGGGACGAGCCTTCAGCTCGGGATTCTCAGGCGGGACGAGCCTTCAGCTCGGTTCTCCAAGGCGCATCTGACAATCACAGAAGGGACGAGCTTTCAGCTCGAGAACCAGAGACGGCGCCAGTGGACGCCGAGAGCGCCGCAGAGGCTGTGACCACGAGTGTCGGCGACACCGACCCTCCTGCCATCCCTGGTGAATCCACTCAGGGCCTCCCTCGTCAGGTGGGCCCCCAAGCCAGCTGCGGGCGATCGGCCGACCCCGCCGACGTAGTCATGGAGGAGACAGGCTCCACAACGGGGCCGCCCCAGAGAAGATACTTCGAGGACCGCGCGGCTGGCACAGCCAGCGGCGCAAGCGGACTATGCGGCTGCCGCATGACACCGCCGCTCCCCTCCCTGGAGACATGGGCACCGCTGCAGCAGCAGCGCCCAGCTCCCGCGCCGCGAACCTCACCGACGGGACTGGCCTTCAGCCAGGAAGAAGCGAGCAGGAGACAGTTGGGGTGGACGACAGGGGTTACAGTGCGGCGCGCCCCGCTGCCGACAACGCCGGAACGACCGACCGCGACCAACCTTCCCTGGTAGCGACGACGGCGTTGTCTGCGGGCCGACTCCGCACGTCCGATGCCAGCAGGGCCTCTTCAGACCCCGCCTGCGTGGCGGGCTCCCTGGTCGATCTGATCGATCACATCGGACCTCCGATCGTCGTCGCGGGATCGCCCTGCGTCTCCCTTTCCTCGCCTACCCGCCCCCCTCCCATCCACTCCTCTCCCGACCCACCCCCTGGGCTAGAGCATCCAGACGTCTTTCTGGGCGGTAGTGGCCACGGCCGCGAAGACCCGTTCCAAGGGCCGGAACGTGGATCCCTCATCAGGACTGCCAAAGGTTCTCCGTTCGTGTTGAGGCGCGCGGCTCCCAGAACGCCCGTTACGCCCGTCCCACACCCCTACCCTTCTCCTGACTTAGCCCTGGAGGAGGAACTGCGGATGGAAAACCAGGGCGCCCCCTCGGACGCCGAGGATTGCACCTGCCAGGCCCATAGAGATAGCAACCGACCTGCACGCTCGATGGATGGGCGCCACCGGGCACACGAACGCAGACTGGGCAGCCAGTCGTGAGGCTGACGGACCCATGTGTGGGCCGCGCGTTGCCGACGCTAGGGTCACTGGCAGGGGAGGCACCATGAATGCTCTCCGTCGCCACCTAGCGCGTATCGACGGCCCCTGGCGTGAAATTCCCGAACGAGGGGCACCGAGAACACCGCGCGAAACCAGTGACCTGGAGCTCCTCACACACCGCGCGTGGAGGGGGCACCGCCCTGGTCATCCAGGCATCCGGGTAGGCAGCCCCCTGCGAGCAGTTCCAAACGAAGCTCTCCTCCCTGGGCTCGGATGTCAACGAGCCACCTCGGCGCCAACCCTCGCCATCTTGGACCTCTCCTGGCTGGTCTGGTCAGTCGCGGGCGGAGACCGCGAAGGACGCCTAGGAGGTGCGCAACCAGACCCGACGCAAGTGCTAGCCTTCCGCTTCGCGAGCATCACCCACGACCCCAGTATAAGGAGGGAAAGACTGGACGCAGACGATCCCTCCGCGGTGGAAATGCAACTAGCGCGTCTCGAGTACGCCGCCATGACGACCGCAGCACACCACTGCGACATCGGTATGGAACTTCCGAATGGATACGACACAGACAGCATGCTCTCGCCCACCAGGCCTCCCTGTGACGCTGTGCCCTCACACAGTAGCGGCCCTAACCGACCAGACGGTGCCCAGGACCCCATGGACGACGAAACCAGGGCGTACGCATATAGAGTCCTAATCCATGAGCGCAGGCAAAACATAGTTCACTTTCCGGACCACGGGGACGTCAGACAGTGGGCCATCAGGAGGGACAATCTCGAACGGGTTGGTGCCGACGTACACCCGAGACGACAAGCAGGTAGAGGCCCAGTACCATGGGCAGAGCCAGCCCTAACAGGGGCAACGGCCAGTTCAATGGGCACCCCTGGGGTAGCGATCCAAGGTGGCGACAGAAATGACAACGCATGGCCCTGGTCCACCACGGCGCACCGCCTGCTGCTACAGGATTTCTTTTGCCCGACTCAACGGTGCGACTTCTGCGGGTCGTGGATGCTTCGAGACCCTGCGGGCCGACGCTGCATCACCTGCCAGAGGTTGGCCAACCCGTGGAGCTATAGCGGGGGCGAGCGGCAATCGGGCGACCCCCACCAGGTTCACCCCAGCGCCGAAACGGACCAGCCACTCAACAGGCGCGCACCCGACCTTCTTGATTGCACCTTGCAACTTCAGCTGGTCAGGGCAGGCATGCGGCATGCCCCAATCGCAGACACCTCTACTCCCCAGCTCAACCGGGCCCCACTGATTTCACCCCGACCTGGCTCGTGGGCGAACTCCTGGGAGCCTGGAGGCACATTGCGGCCCAAGCCGAGATCTGGGCCAACAGCGGCTCCATCGACAGGGCAGACCTTGGAGACGAGTTGCAACTGCGCACAGCAGTGGCCTCCCTTGCCCTACTTTGCTCCGCGCCAGACTCCTGGGCCCTCAATGCCTGCTTAAGAGTACGCCGAGTCCTTAGGACTTGCCCAGAGGGACGACTGGACGGTTGGTTCCCACCGCAGCTTTATCACGAAGACCCGACCGCGCACC